TTCAGCAGGGAAGTAAAAAATAGATCTTTCGTTTATTCTACAAGTCTTTATTAAGGGCCAATTCTATGCCAGACACTGTTCTTGATTCCGGGGAGTCTACAGTAAACACAAAACCAAATTTCTGCCCTCATAGAGGGTACAGTCTATTGGATATTTTCCATGCAGCTAAAAGGGTAGTAATCCAAAGATATAGATAGAAAATCATGAGTTAATCTTGTATGCACAGGGCCATGAAGAAATCTGGGGATGGTAGAATGGCACCTCTATAACTTACAAATAGGGTCTCTCCTGAGCTCATATTGCTCAGCCCTAACAGAGCTGATTTAGGTGGAATCTAAAATAAATCATTTTATTTTTTGGTTTTCCTTTCCCCCTTTTCTCTATCCCTCTCCAAACTAGGAGATAGCTTTAAACAATATAGCTTACAATATTATGAGAAAATTTGTTTCTTGAACCTATCACAATCAACATTTGATGGACAAGTGAGAAAACTGGGTAGTCAACATATGAATCAAATTTAATAACCACTGAAGCAAGTATCCACCCAAAGTGTATGGTTTTAATTAACTGCAGATAAATCCCTCAAGGCAAATGTTTAATTATCTGCACAGCTTCTTATTTATTTCTGAGACTGACAAAAAGTTTCAAAGTCCAAATTTGGAAGCAAAACTAAGCATAGACACATTTTCCAAACTGTTACTGCGCTCATGTCAAATTGTTTTAAACCAGCTGCCATTAAAATATGCCTTCTTAATTTTGAATCTAACATGTGGTTTAAAAAATAGCCTTTGAATACTTTTTTTTCCCACATTAGTACTGAACATGAACAACTGAAAAAGGTGCTATATGGATTAGGCTAAATTTTGGTTTTGAAAGTGTTTTAGATTTATTTATAAAATATATATATTATAGTCTTGTGTACATTTTGCTCATAGTTAAAATTTGTTCATTTATTCTCAATAATTCATTATGCTTTTTAATTTACATGAATATTTACATAAATCAAATATTACAAAAGAAATGTCTTAAAAAGTGATTTACATTGATTTTACAAATTTATGATCTAATGATTCACATATGATAGGAGAAAGTATTTAAAAAGCTAATCAATAGACTGTACCTGTTTTGTCACAAAAATCTGTATCTTTAACACATGAATTGACCCTTAAATTTCAATTCCCTTAAGGAGTTGCTGTAACATTGCTAAGGCACCTTCTGACCTTATGTGCTCTAATCTATACAATGCAATTTATTGACTCCAAGACTCCATCAATTGTTATTTGAAATATATTTT